ATCTGGAAAAAGCCTTTTCCTCTTTTGATGCCTGAACCTGTGGAGCTTCAGGCTTTCTTCTTGAGCCATATCCTCCTTGGCACTTGCAGCCCATAACAAGCTATTCTTATTAACATTTTTTCTGGGCTGGGATTAAGTTGGAAAAGAGACAGGAATGACATTTTGCTTAAACCACTTTAAAAAGTAAGCAGCAGCTCTACCATTTAAAGTTTATATTGAATCAGCTCCTAAATGTTTGGAAAAAAAAGGGATATTTAGGATGTAAACACAGACACGTATTGCTATACAAAAGCTCCAGCTTTGATGATTTGCAATGGGTGGGGTTTTTGATAATGCTTCTGCTCAAGCCACACACACACACACAATTACTGCCTCTGCACTGACACATCAGGAGAACATTTTGTTTTCCCCTTAGCAATCCACAATTACTGAGATTTGTTAATTGCATCAATGTGACAAGGAGGAAGCAACAAAAGCTGAAAAGGTGTTCTCTTCACTAGCTTGTGCCAAAGATCACAGTAACAATGAACTATATACCTAAGACTCTGCCTGGAGCTCTGACTAGGAGCAGCCAGACCAAACTTCAGACAAGGACAACCTAGAGCTAGTGTGTTAACTTCTTCTGCCCCTTTTCCGAATGGAGGATTCATCTTATTACGTGGGAGAAAGAAAACACCACCAAAACTCATCCCATGACCATTCACGGCACGGGTTTATGTTTCACAGTGGCCTGACTGACTTAGACTGATCAGCTGTGATTGCTTGAGTCAGAGCAGCTGAGAGACACGTTTGTCTGTAGCAATGAGGTGCCACTATTGGGGCTGAGCAGATTCCTCTTCTTTCCCTGTGCTGCCATTTGGCAGGACCCACTGAGCTACTCAGAAAACAATGCTAAAATTCCTCCCTGGGCAAATGCTAATACACTCCATCAAGTTCTGCTTCCATACAGCCAGGAAGCTCTGTGCTCCTGTGTGCTTGATTTCAAAGTTATTTAAGGAGTTAATCGGCATCATTCAGCTGCACGGGGTGAAGCTGCAGAGCGTCGGTGTGGGATAAGCAGCTCTGGCTTGTGGAGCCCCTCACAAAGCTGCCCATTTCCTCAGGCACGGGCCTGGGGTTGTGGAGGGAAGAGAGACATCTGTGACAGGACCACAGCTGCCTGAAGCCCCAGAGCATCCTGCTCCAATGTCAGCTTGGGAAGCAGAGCAAAGGTTTCTGCTGAGTGATATGGGAGCAGGAGCCGAGCCACAACTTCTGCACTGTGAAAGCTTATTTCATTTTGGGCCAGGGAGGTTTCAGCTGGCCACAGCTCCCAGCAATTCCCTACAACTGCACAGTGAGAAGAAGCAAATTCTCAGGAAAAACCAATACAATGAAAAATCAGGTTTGTGTCCTTCTGCAGCTCCCATACATCCCCCTTGGGGCTCCAAAATTTCCCCACAAGGAAGTGAATCGGGCTGCTTTCAGAGGAACAGAAGATAAAGCTAGGGAAACAAAACCCTCACTGAGGCTCCATAGCCTCTCATTTTTGCTATGTCTACCCTCATCCTTCCTTCTGCCCATATTATCCTCTAAATCTCCTGGGACATCAGCTCTTCAAGATGGGAACTACCTCCATACCCCCTGCCATGCAGAAACACACAAGGAATATCCAAAATTTGGGGCTAGTCCTGCGTTGTTCCTAGCAATCCAACTCTCTTGAAAGAATTCCTCGTAATTTTCAGATGTGCTGCATTGTGCAAGTTGCCATAAAATGTTTATACATTGTATCCTCCGACCTATTTAACACATCCAGCTGCTACAGAGAGGCAGGAAGAAAGAAACCCAGACCCCAAGAACACAGACAAAAAGTAGGTTGCAGAAATCCCCTATCTTTCCCTAGGAAGTTTAACTCATGGGGAATGAGAAATAAATCCAAAATTATCTTCTGGATGAATTTAAAACATGGAGAAATGATCTTTCTTCAGTCACTTCCTCTGTTCCCACGTTCCCATCAAACAGTCAAGAAAGCTTTGCCACCCCAAAACTAGTCTTGTTAACCAAAGGGAAAAACCCCCACACGTTAGAAAACAAACAGCTGCCTCCATCTCCCATCTTCAGCGCCCTGCGAGGCTCAGAAACCACCGAGAGCTATCTCAGCACACAGGATGCACATTCACCAGGTGCTCCTGCGGTCTGGCACCCTCACCTGCCACTGCTCCTGCAGCCACCAACCCACTGCTGCTTCTCCACTCACCCACCCATCTGATAAGAACACAAACTGCGGCACCAGGCTCCGACCTGAACTTGCAATTCACACTCTCCTGCTCCCACTAATACAACTTGGAAATAAATAGCAAATCAGCTGCCAGTAAAATAAGAAAATTAAGAAAAAAATTGAGGAAGAGAATGGGGAAGACGAGACCTCTCTAACAACAGCAGAATTTGGAAGATTTTGAATCCTTGTCAAACATTCTCTTCCTTCCAAAAGCTGCACTGAAATTAGACTTCTATTTTTTTTTATTATGGTTTATTAGGCAAGTTGTGTCTGACTACAGATTTCTACTTTTAATTTTACAAAGCAAGCTTTTAAAGCATGTACCTTTTTTTAAAAAAAAAAGGAAAGGCTTTTTCCCCCCCCCCTCTCTACATATGGTGATGAAAGCAACTTTTTTCCCTTTCCAGGAAAGCTTTGCGCTCCCTTCTCATAGATGGTCCTTGCCCTGCGTCTGGACGCCGTTCCCCAGGGGTGCATCCCCGGGGCAGTTTGCAGCCAGCAGGTCCTTCCAAGGTGGAAAAAAAGATTCAGCGCCCCAGGGCGCCTTTTTAATCCCGGCTAACACCTCCAGGCAACAGATGCATCAACAAGAAGCGTCTTTGTCATGCAAATAGCAGGGCGCAGGTACACACCAGGCACAAATGGCTGGGGACGAGTGACACCCCAGGGGAGAGCTCTGCCTCCGGTGCTTGCTGCTCTCAGCTGCCGCTTGCCCTGGGAAGGGGAGCAGAGCAAGGCAGCGGCCGGGACGCCGCGGAGGTGAGCGCGGCGCCGCAGCCGCGGACAGGCACGGGGACAGCGAGCGTGTCACCTCCGCGATGCCGCGTTCTGCTCCTGCGCGCTTTAAAACCCAACTGTCAGCACCGAGCCTAGCAAAGATTACAGTTCAATTAAACAAAAAAATTATTTCATAACTCAAGCGTGTAGCCTTGTGGTTAAACTGAAAGAACTCCGGGCTTATGTCAACATTGCGGCCCTGCAACAGCACTGTTTTATTGAAACAGTGGTGCTGCTGTAACATGCAAGAGCAGCACCGAACTAAATTAGCCCCTCAGACGTTCAGCAGGCAGCTCTGCAATTAAAAACAAGACGCGTTTTCCCCCCTTCCTCCCCTCCACCACACCCACAAAGGGCAGTTCCTCAAGAGCCTCTGCAAGATGATATTCTGAGGGCACTGATGCCAGATCCGTACAGAGTGGCAGCCCCACGGTATGCATATATGGAGAAAATCCTCGGTGAATAATTAAATTAGATTTTGTTGTTCTAAGTCATGCACCAGCACTCGGGACTTTCTTAGGAAGGTAGAAGGCAAAGAGGGGGTAAAAAAAAAGTCTGAAGTTTCCTAGTCCCCCAAAGGGTAGGTTTGAGTCTCGATGCCCTCTTGAAAAGCAGAATGCTTTTCCCTATGATACATCCAAAAGGAAGTTTTATGTAGAACAACGTTTACAACAACAAATATCAACAGACTGTGATCATCATGCTTCACCCTAAATGGCTGTAGGCCCCTGAACTGGAATTTATACACAAAAAAAACCCCACAGCTATAGAAAGCAATATATTGCATGAGTTTTTGCATCTTTCAAATGCACATCCGTGTGTTTTGCAGTGCCAAAGCACCCTGTCACTCTGACTCCAAATATACACTAATTTAACATGCTTTGCTGCCGTCAAATTACCAGCACGGATCAGGCCCCCTTCTTTTTGTTTTTGAAGTTGAATGCCACAGTCCTGAATAAAAATCAAGAATGTCAGAGCGCAAAACAATGCCATGACAGAGCGGCATGACAGAGACCTGCAAGAAAAAAATCTAGGAGCCAGTAAGAGGGAAAACTGCTTTATCACAGGGAAGTAACAGCATCCAACTCCTCCTCTCACAGCACGCACAACGGCGGCGGCATTTTTCCAGCACGATGCCTACAAGCAAATCATTTCCCGCTCCTCTCAGGTTCTACTAATATAATTTCCACAGCTCATTTTAACACTGCCTCTCCATTGCTCTGTATGCCTCTTACAAAAATAAATGGGGATTGACTACCCAGAATTAAAAGTACATTTAAACCCATTAAACATGAATCTACACCAATGGAAACAGAGGGACCAACCTGGAAGAATCAGTGCTTGCCACAGTGTAAGGGAAAGCTGTAACTACTGCATCATGGTTGATATTAATTTCTAAACGACCATTTCACAATTTCTGGCTGAAGATACAGAGTATGTTTCAAAGCAATGCTGCCAGATAGATAAAGCCTTCACGCAGACCAACTGATGGTGGAAATAAAATACCAATCAGCAAAGAGCAATGCCACATCTGAAGCAAAAAAAAAAAAAAAAAAAAATCCAATCTTCTCATCTTACTGTCATGTAACTTTAGCAGTTCTGCTTCCAGCCCTTGCTTTTCCTCAACAAATGAAGAGTTAAAGCCAGAAAATTCACATCTGTCCCAGTCACTACAAAGACAGCATTTACATCATACTGCCATACATTATCCTACAGTAGTAAACCAGAGCTCCCCCCACAAAGCCCCCAGCCCTGTTCACAGACATTAATCTCAGCTTTTCCACTGTGATCACGACCAACACCTCTAAGAGATCTCAAACTCCACTGAACAGAGGCTCTGAACTGCAGAAGCTCAACCTTCACTGTCACTGAAGCTAGCCAAAAGACCCCATTGTAAACAGGCTCTGCAGACCAAACAGGAGGAAACCCAGCTTGCCAAAACCAGCCTTTGGAAGAGATAACTCACTGTTCTGGGGATGGGTGGCGACAGAGATCCATTAGGCATGTATGGGTCGTTATTCATATTTGGCATCATGATATACCCAGAATAACCAGAGTACGATGGTCCCTTGCTGTATAAGCCATTGTCTGGATGCTTTCCTATGGAAGATGAAACAATGATTACATTATTCCCCATGTATGCATTTGCCGCGATTTAGAGCACTCAAACAGGTACTGTGCGTATATAAAAATGCTCTACATGCAAATGTTTCCTTACTCATGGAAATTATTGCTGACAGAAAAATGATACAAAGTAATTTGTAAAAACATTTTTTTTAGGAAGCATAAACTGTTAAAATAGCGAGTATTCTCAGTGAGGAGTTTATGTTTAAAACACAGAATAGCCTCAAAATAAACAATTTTGCTAGTACTCATTGAAATCAAAGTAGATGCATCAGCAATGACATCACATTTCTCAAGTAGCAGTTTTCCCCAATTTTATACAAGGATTTGTCAGTTCAGAATTATTGCCAGTTTGGGTTTCCAACATCATTGTTAGGAAAGGCTGTGATAACTAGATATAATAATTTCCTTCTCTTGCTGAGACAGTGTGTGCAGCAAACAATTCATTCTGACTATGCTCACTGGGAACAATTTAAGGGCAGAGGGTGCTTGGAAGGAGATCCTAACAATTTGGGAGGGAGGCTGTTAAGCACTCATGGTACTACAGCCAAGAGGGAAGCCCCGTGAGGGAGGGAGGCTATCTGGTAGGGAAAAAAGGTGTTTGGGTCCAGATCCTGCAAATAGGGTGAACAGGTCTCCCACCTACATGCCCACTGACAAGGATACTACTTGAAAGTGAGGTTTCAAGAAGATGCAGAGCTGAAAACTATCCGGAGCTGAACACCTCCCCCTCACTGCCCAAATGCAATGAGCATGGACATCATTGCTTTTAGGCTATTTAATTACAAATTTGGAGGAAGATGGCCACAGAGTGCTGGAAAGCACCAGGACTGGACTCTGTCTGTCTTTATATGGAATTTATAATCTGGTTTAGTTTGTGATGATAAGCTTTTGATTTTAAACATAATCTCCCACCCTTCACAGCACACATTCTTTGCATGCGTGTCCAGCTTCCTAAATGATATTTGATGAACTCTGCTACTTCCTCTGTGTTCCTCAATCGAAATTAACCATTTGAGACATTTTTAAAAATGCACGAGATCTGCCCATACTTAGATTTGAAAAAGGAGATTTAAGTGACAGACTTTGGCTATGGGGAAAAGCAGAGGGTTTCTGAACACAACTGTACGCTGTATGAGTGAAGAAATAATGTATTTAAGGTGATATCCTAAAAATAGTTACTTCTTCAGTGAATATCCATTTGGCCTACTTATCAGTTTCTAAACAACTGGAATACCATTTGGTCACTCAAGATAAATGCACTGCACGTTCGTCTCCTTTTTAAATGCACTTCGAAAACACTTTGGCATCCCTCCCCCCCCAAAAGATATAAAGTTTATGTTTTCCAAATAAACCAAGTTCCAGTTTGAGGACTGTGTGGTGGGTCACAGAGGGACAAAATTGCAAGACAGGACTGTGCGAGTCTCACCTTCCTCGGGGTGTTCTCTGCCTTTATCATGGTAGGAATCCTGTGCTTGAGTCTGCCTGGAAACCTGACCACAAGGAATCCACCATCAGAAAAGAAGAAAAAGAAGAAAAGTCATTGTATGGATGCTCGTTTATCAAACACGCTGCTACAGTTTCTTGAAGGAAGAGAGGATTTCAGAGCACAAGATTAACATCTTTCTTTTTCCTCCTAAGTGGCTTGGAAGGCAACTGTTCCAGAATCATTGGTGTAAACTATTGTTTTATGACAACGTGAATAACTACAGGGCTTTGCAAAGCATTTCTAGCAGAAGCACCCTGCATTTAATGGAAGTGGATAATTTCTGGAAAATATTTGGCGCTCTGGCGGTCAAAACGCTCTTGGTAAAAAGATACCAAAAATAATAATGAAAATCAGGTTGCCCTCCTTAGCAGATGTTTAGGGGGAAAAAAGAAAGAAAATTAAAAAGAAAAAGAAAAAGAAAAAAAATAGACAAAATTTTTTAAAAGGCAGGCTCCCCGCTCGCCCCGAAGTTATTTTAGAGTCGGGAATTTCTTCCCTAACAGTTTTATGCAAATCCCTTAAAGAGTTTACAGCTAACGCTCCGACCCCGCTGATTTTACTGAGGAAATTTCATGGCTGCTTGAGGTCTAATACCGTCGGGGAACTCGCGGCAACTTTCTCATCCCGGGCCGAAGCGCGGAAGGAGCTCTGCCCGGCGCACCTCTGGAGACAGGATTCAGGGTAGAACGATCTCTGTTCCCATGGGAAACGTTTCCCCGGCGCCCCTGCGCAGCTCCCTCCCGCCGGCACCCCGCGCCCCGCGGAGCCCCCGCGGCCGCGCACCTCGTGCCCGTTGGCGCCGGGGGCGATCTCGGACTCGTTGACGAGGGAGGACTTGATGTCGGCCAGGTCGCCCTCCTCCTCGGGGTGGCTGATCTCGGCGAAGATCTTCTCTTTCTGGGGGTCCCCCTCGTCCTTGAAGGGGATCATCTCGTCGGTGGCGCAGAGCTCCGGGTCCCCCCCGCCGCCCCCGGCCCCCGGCAGCTGCGGCATCCTCACGGCAGCGCGGCGTCTGCTGCGGCCGCCGGCCCGCCGCGGGAAGGGGAGCGGGCGGAGCAGCGGGGGGAGGAGGAGGAGGAGGAGGGCGGAGGAGGAGGAGAGAGGAGGAGAAGGAGGAGAGAAGAAGGAAAAATCCCGTGAACTCCTCGGGGTTGCTCTCAGCAGCCGGAGACCCCCGCCCGCCCGTCCGCCCGCCCCCTCGGGGCCGAGGTACCCCGTCTTCCGCACGACACCGACGTCCCGGGGACCCTCGCCCCGACGCGCCGCACGGCCGGAATAGGTCGAAATACGCTCGCCCGTGTCCCGACCGCGCCAGGGACCGCCCCCCCGGAGACCCGACCCCCCTCCATCCCCCCGGGACCCGGGCTCACCCCGGGGGCGAGGAGACGCGGAGGGGAGCGGAGCCCGCCCGCGTTTCGCCTCCGAGCGAAGTTGCCACCAGCCCGGCGGGACCGAGTTAAAATGGCAGGGGGGAGGCGGGCAGGGGGAGGGGGCGTCCCGGGGGAAGGGGCCGGCGCTGCCCGTGCCGCGCACCCACCGGGCCTTTGTCCGCCGCCTCGTCCGCGGCTCCGGGCACGGCTGGGCTCGGCTCGGCGGCACCGCGAGGGGCGGGGGGCCGGGGAAGAAACAGCCCCGGGAGGGAGAGAGGGAGGGCAGGAGGGGAGGGATGGAGCGGGCGGGGAGGTGACCCCCCCCGCTTCCCTCCGCGCCCGCGGGCAGGGGAAAAAGTTGCCGGCACGGCGCCCCCGGCCGCCTCCGCGCTCAGCGCCCGGCGCGGGGCCTCCTCCTGCCGCAGCCGGCGGGCGCGGCGCCCCGCGAGGGGCAGCGGTGGGGCGCGGGGCGGCGGCGGCAGCGCAACTTCAGCATCGCTCCCGCCCTCCCGCCCTGCGCCGTCGGGGCGGGGCGGGGCGGGGGCGGCGGAGATGAAAGGGACCGCCGCCGTGACTGACACCGTGTCCGGGCCGGGAGGGCCGAGCGGCGGGGACGGGGAGAGGAGGGGGCTGGGGCAGCGCCAGCGGGGAGGGAGGAGGGGGCGGGAGGGAGCGGGTGCGGGGCTGCCCCCGGGCAAACTTTGCTCTGGCTGCGCGGAGTGGCCCCTGTGTCCGTGTGGGTACCTACGCGCACACGTGTGCGTTTGTGTGTGCGTGTCCGCGTCGCGGGGGTGCGCCGGGCACTGCCGCTCCTCTCCCTTCCCAGCCAGGAGCCCGCCGAGGAGGGCACGAGCACTGGCTGCATCCCCGGGAAGGGCGGACAGACCTGCTTTTTTAGGGCTGCTTTGTTGAGCCTTCCCCATCGCCACATGGCGCTGCTCCGGTGTGGGAAGTGTGCGAGGGGTTGACCAGGCTTGCCCGCGCCGCATCGGACGAAGGGCAGAATTAAGACATCCCCATTGAATCCCGCAAGTGCCCGGCAGAAACGAGTGGTAGCCCCCGAGAGACGGGGAGAAACCCGCCGGGGCGAGCTCGTCCCATTTTCGGAGCGGTAAATGGAGCCAGAGCAGTAAGGGAGATTCACCTCTCCATCCTGTCCCGTTCCTCCAGCACCGCGCTGCCCCGTTAGCTCCCGGCTGATCCGGCATCACCCGGCGACAGGGCACGGGTGCAGTAAAAAAAATCATCCACGCAAAAGCAGGCGCTGCGCTTGGGGAACGTCAGGATCCACAACTTTTATTTTGCGAACACGATGGGCGCACATTTTGCAGGAAACAACTTCCCAGTATTTTGGCATCGGAAAAGTGCGCTTTGTGCTTTGCACATGCCCCGTCAGGTTGCTAAACCTTCAAGCGCCGGGAGCCGGAGGAACGGGAACATGTGGATGCTCAATCCGTTTTCGGCAGATGCTGGGCTCGGCACGGCGGCACTGCCGGCCGGGACACGGGCGGGCTGAGCCCGCTGCCCACGCCGCCGCCCGCGGCTCTCTGTAATCGTCCTCGAACGGGTAATTAAAATCCAGCTGAGAAATTAGACCCTCCAAAGCCCGAGAAAGGGAGCAAGGTAGCGGGAAACGGGGGGGTGGACTTGCCAAGTCGAACAAGCGCGTGAAATAAATGATCGAGAAAGGAAGAAATTAGAAATGTAACTTCTGGGAAAGGGCTTAATTGTGCAGTGCTCTCCAGATGCCCCTCTCTCCCGGAGACGGCTGCAGAGAGGCGATGGGGAAGCGGTTGTTTGGAAAACGACAGACAGCTCGGGGATGGCTCCTGAACGGAGATGCGCATCTCCGCATCCCTCCCGCCCCTCTTCCCTTTCCTGGCGCTCGGCGGGCACCGGACACCCGGGCCGGGCAAAGCTGCCCCGGGACGCTCCCGTTCTGAAAAAAAGACCTTCGCTGAGAGGCTGAGGTTTGGAACCCGCTCGCCCGACGGGACGGGACGGGGCGGCCCGGGAGCAGGCAGGGACCCCGCCGGAGCAGCCGGCAGCGCGGCCACTCCTCCGTTTCATTACCGTGTCCCCCTGGAAAAGCAGCCTCCCCCGCCCCTCCGCCGTGCCTTTCCGTGGGCTGGAGTCTTTCCCGGATCGGTTTTTTGGTGGAAGGATTTGGAAGGCAAAAAAGGGCCAGGGTGGGGGCGGCGGGACCGGGGCGGGGGAATGTGTGTGTGGAAACCGTAATGATTTACGACAAAAAGATAAACTCAGGAAACGTCAACTCCAACGTCAGATCTGACTGGAGACAGCACAAAGCTGTCGCTTTACTCGCAGTCCTTGGGGCACGGCCGGAGGCGGGGGGCAAGGCCCGGGTACGGGGACGCCCCGCGCTGGCCCCGCTCTCGCCCCCGCCGGGACCCGCCGCCCTCCCCGGGCCACCGGGAGCGCGCCCGCCGCCGTGCCCGGCTCCGCCGCGGCTACCGCGCCGCTCGGCGCTTTCGCAGCGCTGATTTTTGCGCTTTAGGTGTTTCTTATTCTTTTCTCTTTTGGTTTAAGCGTGAGTTTGTATTTTCCTGTGGTTTTGTTTTTTGTCTGTTTGTTGTTTAAATTTGGGCAGGTTTTGCTGGGTCGTTTGTTTTGGTCGTTTGAGCGGGTTTTAACATTTCAGAGTGAGTTGACGAGTTTTTGTTTGTTGGGTTTTTTTGCATTTTCAGCGTTGAAGGAACCCGCACTTGGAGCACTCCCCGACGGCCAGCTCGGCTTGCCCGGGCTCAGGGCAGGGCGGGGGGCGCGATCGGGGAGGGCAAACCCGGTCCGGGGCGGGCAGCGCTCGGGCAGCGGGACGAGCCCGTAGAGCTTCAGGGGGGCTGCGAGGGGGGACCCGCGGTGCCGATGCCGACTCCTCCGGGGGCAAGGAGCGGGCGGGGGGACACAGGACACTCTGGCGTGCGAAGCGACGTCCGCCGGCGGCGCCCCCTATATAGGGGAAGGGCGGGAGTGGGGCGGGGCGGCGGCGCCTTTGATGTCCTGCCGGCGGCCCCTTTCATCCCCCCCGGTTCCCCCCCCGAGCTCTTTGTGTGACTAAATTTGGCAGGAGCATGGAGGCGCGCCAGGGCGCCCACGTGTGCGCCGAGCTCCCAGCTGAGAGAGCCGGGGTTTTCTTCCGGGTAAGGAGACAGCGGGGGAGATCAAAGAGTTTGGGGAGCTGGAGCCGAAATGTGCAGTGGAAATAAAGTGAAATAAAATAAATAAATAAATAAATAATGGAAAAGAGGAAAAAATAATTTCTCCGTTCTGGACGCGTGCCAGTCAGAGGCAAGGGGAAGCAGGGGGAGCACATAGTGGTCGGGGGGACCGGCGGGAGGGAGGAGGGGAAAAAATATTCTCGGAAAAGGGGGTTGCAGTTGTTTTCTGAAAAGACAAAAAAAAAAAAAAAGAATAAAAAACAACCAAGGAACCAGCAGACCAAGCCTTTTGTTTAAAGCCGCCGGGCTCTGGAGCCAAGCGGGCTCCGCCGGGAGGAGCCGTCCAGGAGCGCGGCCGGGCCAGGGCTGCGCGGCCGCGGGGCAAAACTCCCTCGTAGAGCCCGAGAAACGCCGGGCAACCAGCGGCAAACATCCCCTTCTCCCGCCCGCGAGGCCGGTTCCGAGGCTCCGAGGGAGTCCTTGTGGGCAAACCCCCGCGGTTTTTCCTCCCCCTCGGAAGCGATGCCGAGGGTGGTCCCCGAGGGGAGCGTGCCCCGGGGCCGGGCGCCCTTGGCGGCAGCCCACGCTGCTCCCCGCGGCTCCCGGCGGGCGCGGCGCTGCCCAGGGACAGCGGCGCTGCTCTCCGAGCTGGGCTGGCACAGCCGGGCTGCGCCACGGGAATCCCGGGCCTGCGGCATGGTCACCCGGCTCTCGCTGCTCCCTCAGGACTGCAAAGCACAACAAAGAGTGTTAGGTTTTAAAATTTCTCCAATCGAGCCTTCTCGGTGCCTTTTCAAGGCAATGTGACTGAATTATGCGTGTTCCCCGGGTCTGCGTTCGCCACCCCGTTTAGATAGCGCCGTGATTTATGTGCAAGTTGAATATATAGGCTGAATTCCCAAATTCCTTCTGAAGCAAATAAACCCCCCTCCTTCAGGACGTGGGGTGAGCAGGGCCAGAGCAGCGATGTGATGATTAGCCCTGGCTCTGCAGAGTTATCGCTGGTGTCCTGCACATCCCGCTGCTGCACAGCATCACTGGGGAGCCAGCCCCGGGCTGCCTCAGCTTGTATGGATGTGTTTGCAAATATGGACCTGTCCTGTGCCTCTGAAACAAGGATAATACCTCAAAGGCATTTTCTACCCTGTGAGAATAAGTGCATTGTTGTGTTTAAAGAGACTCTTCTGATGAAGGCCATCGGGAAAGCTGTAAATAACAGATTGGGATTTTTTGGGGGGGAAAACCCAGTGTCCTCTCACACTCTTGTGTTGTACCAGGCACAGTGCCTTTGGTGGTGCAGTCCCTTTTACAAGCACAGTGTCCAGATATCTGGCATACCTTTGGATGTGGGTCCATGTTTGGATTGCAGGCACTGTGGCTCACACTCCAAGGCTATGCCCAGCTGTTTTTTGGGGTGGGTCACCTGCCGTGGCCTCCAGATGATGCTGATGCCAGTTCCTGGTAGCCTTGAGGGAACTTGGGTGTGGTGTGGAGGGGATTTCTCATTGCACTTAGGATCATTCCTGTCATGGTGGCTGAAAGGGATTCTTTCCAACAGCCAAGTCAAGAGGATTCTGCAGAGTGAAGGAAACAATTCTGTATTTGGTGCAGATTTACATTTTAAATGGAGAAAAAAACCAAAAAGGGAATAATATGTTCTGGTTTTGAAGACTCATTTATTATGAGCCTTTATGAAATACGAACTCATTTTTCAAATTTATAACAAAGGGCATCCTGGCTATGTTTCTAGCAGCTATATCAAAGAGTAACTGCACTTCTCATTTAAAGCTACTTTGAAAGAGATCACGTGTAATAGGTATTAGGATATTAAGAGTGTATATGTGCTTTTTGCTTTTTAATTTACACATCCAGCTTTCCAGTTTTGGGATGCCATTAATGTTCTTAGCCCAGAATTACTCTATTTAAAGACCCTAAAACCTAAACCTAGCTCTATTTAAAGAGCTAGGTTTTCTTAGCTCTTGCAACAACATGGGCTTTATGAGATTTGAGTGGGAAAATCTTACCAATGCATTT